GTACCTTTACCACCTAAAATATTACATTACTATGTAAGGGTCTGATCTTTCCAGCAACTCTTAAGATAACTGGAATAAGAACCTTTGCAGAACAAGGACTTTGGGTATTGCAGGTGCTGTTTAAAACATACTGTAGGCCCTTCTACACAGCAAATCAGACCTGGTTAGATTACAAGACAGTCCTTAATCTGAGTTTCTTCCAAGCATGGTGTCCGAGAAAAAATGAAGCTGAGCTACTGGTTTCCCTTTATCAGTGTTTTTGCTGGGAAGAAAAGTCTTCTCAGGCACAGAAAGTATCACAGATCCTAGTACCTTCCCTCTGTGTGTGGCTGCAATTTGGAAAAGGCTATTCTGGACTGCCTCATCAGTTATGTTGCAGTGACCTGGAGACAGAAGTTCTTGCCTTTGCTGCACTGATGTGAAAAATTCTTTAGTTTGCACAAAAAGCATCCTGGTGTAGGCACGTTTATAATGGTGCCTTCTAGCCAGCAACTGGTTGTTGAAGCATCTCTAGAAGGAGACCCAGTGGGTCTAAAGCTGCCCTCCTAACTGGGGTTGGGTGTCATGAGAGGCTCCTTTGGAGACTAGCATTTCCCTTCATAGGAGTTTTATCGTACTTCTGTTTATGTAATATTTCAACAAACATTCTAGATTGCCCCCAAGAAATCTTCACGAACTTACCAGGGACTTCTGTGAGAGAAACAAGGAAGAGATTAAAACATTAGTTTAGTAAAATATCCTTTGGAGGAATATTTGGGGCTCATGACATGAGACAATCGTTCAATCTTTTGTAAAGCAGGCAGGAGAAATAAAAAGACATTTCAGAAAAACTGAGAATCACCACAGAATTTAGCCAAACATTTACAAAGCAGTAAAAGAGTATCATATCTCTCCAAATTACTTGCCCTTCCTTCCATTTCCATTGAATGATAGAAAATACAGTCATTTAGGCTGAAAAAGACCTTTACATCCTACCATCAAAGTAACACTACCAAGTCCATTCCACTAAACCTTGTCCCTACATGCCACATCTACACAGCTTTGAAATGCAGCCAGGGATGGTGACAATTTCCTGGGCAGTCTGTTCCAATGCTTATCAACCCTTTCTGTTAAAAAAATTTTCTGCTGCCCTTCTCTGGACATGCTCCAGCACCTCGATGTCATTCTTGCAGTGAAGGGCTCAGAAATGAACATGGGACTGGAGGTGTGGCCTCGCCAGTGCTGAGAAGAGAGGGACAATCCCTGCCCTGGTCCTGCTGGCCATGCTATTGCAGATACAGGCCAGGATGCCATTGGCCTTCTTTGGCCGCCTTGGCCCACACTGGCTCATGTTCAGCTGCTGCTGACAAGCACCCAAAGGTCCTTTCCCACTGGGCAGCTTTCCAGCCATTCGGCCCCAAACCTGTAGTGCTGCATAGGGCTGTTGTGACCCAAGTGCAGGACCTGGCACTTTGCCTTGTTGAAACTCACAGAACTGGCCTTAGCCCATAGATTCAACCTGTCCAGATCCCTCCTGTCCAGAGCTTTCCTGCCCTCCAAGAGATCAACACTCCCACTCAACCTGGTGTTGACTAAGTGTGCACCCGATCCCCTCACCCAGATCATTGACAAAGATATTAAATCAAACTGGCCCCAGTTTGGTGGGAGACACCACCAGTGACTGGCTGACAAATGTACTCAGCTCCATTCACCACCACTCTCTGGGCCCAGCCAGCCAGCCAGGTTTTTATCCAGAGAACACGGCTAAGCCATGGGAAGACAGTTTCTGTGAGAATGCTGTGGGAAACCATGTCAAAGGCTTTACTAAAGTTTAAGTAGACAACACCCACAGCCCTTCCCTCATCCACTAAGGAGAGCCATCTCTGTCACAGAATGAGTTCAGGTGGGTCAATCAGGACCTGTCTTTCACAAACCCAGGCTGACAGGGCCCGATCCCCTGGTTATCCGGCACACGCTGCAGGACAGTACTCAAGGTGACCTGTTCCATGATCTTCCCTGGCCCCAAGGTCAGGCCAATAGGCCTTTAATGCCCCAGATTCTCCTTCTGGCCCTTTCTGTAAAATGGACATCACATTTATTCATCTCCAGCCCACTGGGACCTCCCTGGTTAGCAAGATCTGCTGACAGATTCAGCCAGGCACTGCCCTGTGACAGTGGTCACAGGGGTCTTCAGGTGAGGAAAGAGACGAGAATGTTGACTCCATGTTCAGAAGGCTGGATTTATTATTTTATGATATATATATATATTACATTAAAACTATACTAAAAAGAATAGAAGGAAATGTTTCCTCAGAAGCTAGCTAAGAATAGAAAAGAATTAATAACAAAGATCTGTGGCTTGGACAGAGAGTCCAAGGTATCTGGTCCGTGGTTGGCCATTAATTGTGAATATTCAAGATGGCCCAATCACAGACACACCTGATGCATTCCACAGCAGCAGATAACCATTGTTTACACTTTGTTTCTGAGGCCTCAGCTTCTCGGAAGGGAAAAAATCCTAAAGAAAAGGATTTTCACAGAAGATGTCTGCGACACTGCCCCTGGCTGGCTCCCTCACCAACTGGGTCAGGAAATAATCTTCCATACACTCCAGGAACTTCCTGGACTGTTTCCTCTCCCCTGTGCTGTATTTCCAGCAGACCTCTGCTAAGTAAGTTCAACTTACCTCTCTGGTAAGTTCAAGCCCACCACAAGAACAAGGGCTAGCAACTGTGAGACTTCCCAGCTGCTTACAGAATATTTCTTCTGCCTCCTCATCCCAGGCGAGCGGCCTACAACAGACTCTCACCATGGTAGTTGCTTTGTTGGCTCTCCCTCTGATTCTTACCCTAAACACTCAACTCTGATGTCACCATCACGAGGTCACCTTTGCTAATGGAACTGCAGCCTATGACATGGGCTGTGGAGAACAAGTCTGTGCTTGGACATTTCCTCTCTCCTCCGCAGCATTTAGGATCCAAAGTCTTCTCCCATCCCAGCTCAACACCTGGAGCTACGGCATTGTCTTATCTACTCATTGTTTGTGCACAACTGCCTGGGAGATGAGCAGATGTAGACACTGACCAATTTATTGCCAAGATTAAAAAACTGTGGAGAAGCAGGTGATCAGCTGGAATTGAAAAGACACATGGGACAACTTACAAAATCATTCATTTGGGAGTTGTGCTATGTATGTTAAAAGGGCAGCAGTACAGGAATTCTGTCTCCATGTGTAAGTTAAGAGTTTTTCACAGCTCTGATCAGACGAACATTCTTGCCTAGCTCTATGGAGATTGATTTGCACACACATTTTACATCCATTAATTATTCTTCTCCATATTTTCTGCCTGTATTTTCTTTCAATCTTACATCTGCCTCTGCTCCATATTCATCTTTTTACAAGCAGTCTTTATGCCTGGTTTTATCCCCCCTGTAATAAAGGCAAGAGATCTTCATTAAAATTACAACTGATATTTTAAGCAAGGAGACAATACCCCTTATTGTCTCAACTCAGATTTTGCTCTCTTTGACCATGCAGCCCTCTATGTCCAAGTTCTGTTTATCTACATTTCTTTTCCTGCTATGACATGCTATTCACTGCAGTCAGTAATATGTGGCTATTAATGGGACAGCTGCACACAGTGAGACAGTACAATAGCCCAGCTTTACTTCCTATGCATACATTTATATTACTTAAGGTCCTCAGGGTATATGTTTGTTTACATGAAACTCAAGGTTCAGTGGAGGGAAAGGCTTGGTGAAGAGGTCTGAACAATACATGGAGGAAAAATTGTATATTCCTTAATGAAAGAAGCTTGAGAATAATTAAGCAAAAAGGTGACTGCTTCTGGTTTGCTGAAAAGACATCAGTGTATCCACAGAAGGATACACAGAATGGAAACAAATGCATGAAGAAGTAAGCAATAGAACCCAGTCCTTGACATAGAGCTAAGATAACAGATCCTGTCCCAGAGCTGGGTACTGAGAAAAGCAGGCCTTGTGGATTTCAGCAGGGCATAAGTACAGTAAACGTGCTCTTTCCCGGCTCCCTCCTAAAGCAGTGGTGTATTTTGGCTTCTCTAAATAAATACTCCCATTTGCTTAGGCTGACTTAGCTTGAGATGATTTTGAGAGAGATGATGAAACACATCAAGGCTGCACTTTTACAGGGTTGTAAACCTTTCAAGCAGGATGCTGGATTTTCTCTGCACTTACCAGCACTGCAATACATATGCTGAGGGCAAGAGGAGAACAATAGGGTATGTCTCTGACTCTGAACAGCTGGCAACACTGGAACCTGGGAGAATTAAATGGTTTTAGTGGTGTGCTAGCCAGAAAGTGCTCTGCTTTGTGACAGGGTAGTAGGGGAACTTTTTTGTAATCATCTCCTTATAGAGTTACTCTAAAAAGTGTCCTTTCTCAGACTGACTATGAAATACATTTTCAAGGAGCTGTGGGAAATGGGAATAGGTAGGGAAAGCTATATTAGGTGCTTAGAATCCAGATCCCTTTATCAACTTATTAAGAGGACCAAACAGCAACTTATTTCTATTCACATGTGTAATTCTTTTCCCTTCTTCTTCCTCCCTGGTTCAAGAATGATCCCAACTTCATTCATTTTCAGTGGTTACATGGAACAGTTAAAGTGAAAATAATAATTAAGTTTTATTAATTAAAAAAATAATAAACCCCAAGTTCTTCCAAAAGGTATTGAACAGTACATAACTACAGCATGCTCATAATTCTTTATCATCTACTGTATTGTCAGGCTCTCACCTGCCCCAAATAATCAGACCAATAAACCAAACTACATAGATAATCAGTATTGTCAATTAATCTATACAGAACATCATTGAGAAAAAGAGATCACAAAGAGAACAATTACATTCAAGCACCAAAAACTGAAAGAGTGAAAACATTTAACAAAATCTCAGCTAGCCCTTTCACCCACACTGTATTGCTTGCCTCATCATTCTCCCCCCACCCCTCAAATAAGGACAATAAAAAAATCATTAAAATACCTTTGAACTTGTGAAAGACGGCCCATAGCTCAGCAATGTCAGTGGCAAATGTAATGTCTGTGTCGAGAACAATGACTCGCTCAAGATTGGAAGGAAGAGTCTTAGTCAGAACCAACTTCATCAGCCCGTAAATCCCAGAGTAGTGTTTGTTGGGGATCCAAGACACTTCAGACTTGACAGGAAATGGGAAGTCGGAAAGAGGAAGAAAAAATAATCTTTATTAGAAAGAGAAAATTTTCCTGAAATTAGTTTCTTGTCATAGTGGAAGATCTCTGAGGTGGAAAGTAATCTAAAAGCCTGTATTTAAATTTACTTCAGAAGTGCTGAAATACACTAGTTTCTGAAAGCTTGGGGAAAAAAAGCTCTTTCAGGCAACCCCTTCACACAATATAACTACAATTAGTTGAGCCTTTCTGGTCTGGCAGAATTCATTCTGAAACATCCACGTGTCCTTATAAAACTGAAATACATTTTTAGTCTAAAACTTGAGGTGTATCATACATTACTTTAATGTCAACCAAAAAAGAAGTTGTCATCTCAAAATTTTCTCTGATGCAGAAGTAACTAGCATGATATTTTCCTTATATTTTTTATAGATTTGGTGGTCAGAATTTCAAAAGGCCAATCATTTGAAATAATGGGCCAGAAAACTGCAAAAAAATTTGTTTCTTACAAATGCAAATTTTCCTTAAGCCTTTAAGTTTTAATCTTTAACTTAAAACTACTAAGATCCCATAGACATGCTCAAAAGTAGAGAAATTTACAGAAAATTGTCAACCACACTTTTTGGTTTTATGTATTGAATGTGGTAAACTCAAACATTTTCATTTCTTCAGTAAGAGCTAAAAAAAATATTTGTAAAACTTGTAAAATAAAAGTTGGGAGGCTAAGTTCCATAATGCATTGTACTCTTCACACTGGGATATTCCATGAGCTGTGTTTAGTTTTCTTTCTGTGAGACTCAAGTCCTCAAATTTCAAAAGTTTCTGCTTAAAGTGGGATGTTAGACGTTTTTGAGAAGTTCCTATTTCCCTGTCTGAAACTCCTTGTTTGTTTTAAGAGGCATGCACTACAATTCCCAGATTTTATGTTTTCCCTGGAGTAGTGCTCTCAATAACTTAAATTAGTATTTTGTCTATAAAATCTTGAGTGAAACAGATTTCAGGATTTGTCCTGGCATATTACGCTTTGGAGACAAAAGGCAGAAACTCAGTGTCTTCATAAAACTGAGATTTATTCTGTTGCTTAACTATCTTATATCTTTTCACTGCCATTGTAAATTTTATTCTATGAAATAAGATTTGCACAAAAAAAAAATTTCCCCCAAAATCCTTAGAGAAAACCTTCTGTAAGAGAGTGAGTTCCTACATTTCGAAGCTAGAAGCAGGGTTGAAGAACGGCTAATAATAGGTGCTTAGAGCACATTTCTTTTTGAATATAAAGTAACAAGGCCTCTGATGATGTAAGCTGACCTCCTCTATTTCCTTTTAAATGGCACACAACTTTTCTCTGTATTCTCAGGATTCCTGTACCAGGGCAGAGCTCTCTCCCACTACAAAGTTCATTAAAAAGACAGAGGGAAGTAGAACAAACCTTTAAGGAGAAAGACAAGAATTTCAGGGGAAAGGTGGGAAAAGCAGATTCTCATAGAATAAAACCAGAAAGTCCAAATTGAAGCATGAAGTTTTGGTTGGTTCATTTGAAAACTCAATGCTCCCCAGAAATATCTTCTGTGTGTAACAGAGATAATTTCAAATTCACACCCTCACAACTCTACTTATTTGTGGTCCCTGCTTTCCCACATTGTGGCTTTTGGAATGGACCATCACATCACGTTGCATTTAATTTATACAAAACAGTATCTATTTTGCTTCTGTAAACCATACTGTTCTGATCTGCCACTTGATATCCTTGTGCTAGACCAGTCATACCTGACATGTTAGAAGTGTTAGACATTTATAGACTTGAGCTTGCTTTTACCCATTGCTATGTTATTAATTTTGGATAGCATGTCCTTCATTTTATTAGCTGAAATGTTTCTCCAGAAAAGCACCCACTATGCTTATGCAAATAAGTTTAATAAGGTAGGCGTTCATATGCTGCATGAATAGCCTGACACAAGCAGGGAAGGTAAAAGGTGGCTGGAAAAGCAAATCACCTTCGAAGTGCAGTTATTTTCTTTGCTCCCAGGATCCCCAATTTCTAACACCATGTATCTGGTGTTAGAAATTGGGAATCTTGAGAGCAAAGGATTGCTCTCCATGTATCACCACAGGGATGAAACCCATGTCTGGCAGTTCCTTCTGATCTGGCACACAGAAGGCAAAAGCCTGCCATCCTCAATCCTGATGTCTGAAGGCACCACTTTCAAAAATGAAAGGGGCAGCCCTGTTCCAAATGGTCCATCACAGCTGGCCATTGGATTTGAGGATATGTTGAAGCCTGGACACTCAATCAGTCCAATTTATCCCCAGTTTCCTCTCCTGTGATATAGAGTTGACTAAGATGCACACAGAGATCCTAATCAGCCCCCAGCATAATTTCTTCATGGCTTTGCTATTCAAGAAGAATGTAACAGTTCCAAATTCACGGTAAGGAAAACTCCTTGCGCTACAAAAGAGCTGTGAAGGCTCATTCTCTGGTTCCAACGCAGGCACAGTGCTGGAGCAGGTGCTTAGTCCTTATCTTGGTTTTGGCCACAACCTGGAGGTTATTCTGTATCATGTCAAAACCTTGCAGGGAGCAGGGGGAAGGGACTCTGCCTTCTGAGAAGAAGAGTGCGGCTTCTGGTCAAAAAAACCATTTTTCTAAATATTGTCTAAATACTTTCTGTAAGTTTTAATACAATTTTGTTTACTTAGCACAGTTAAAATGGCCCATATATGGCATGTTTGTGAATCATATGCTAACAAGCTAGATCAGAGCTGCCTTCAGAGAACAAATATTCCTAGAAGATACATCAGCAACATTAAAAAATAGATTTAGTAAAAGAGAGTGAAACAAAACAGTGTGACATACTTTGCCATTTGTGTAAATTCCTAGTTCAGCAGAAACACCACACCTTGGATCTCTAGCTCTCAAGATCTGTGTTTTTGTTCATGAGGGAAGAGTAAAGAAAAGCTTTTAGGTGGTACTGACACTGATTCTTTTAAGTGAAATAGTCTACTCACTAAAGGTCCTTCATCAGAATCATCTTTATTATTTTCGTAACTGAAGACTGAAAACAAACTAAAATATCTAAATTATTTGAATATAAAAATCACAAGCCCATGAGTCTGCATGCAGCACGTAACTGATCACCTGATAAATGCCAGAGAGGTGGGAGCAACAGTCCCTATGTTCAGGTATACCTCACCAGCAAGTTCTCTTCCCTAATTGTGCTGAATCTCTGGGAAAAGCTGACCAAATCACAGTTGCTGTGCACAGCCTGACTCAGCTTTCTCACACTTGCTACCACTGTATAAATGCTCATGAAGTTAGCAAAAGTGTCATTTTTAACAGAGAAGTCTCATACATAGAGCTTAAAATGTTCCCTTGACTGAGAGAGGGGAGAATGGCAGCCCATTCTCTGTGAATGAATTGTATGGTGACTACATTCCCAAGCATTTAGGTATTTTCATTTTTTAAAACACTTGAATCTAATTGCTCACACATTATGATCACCAAGCACAACTCATATACCAAGTCATCACAAATATATTGAGCCAGACTTTGACTCTTACACTGTATTTCTTCATGGAACTGCATGACTTTTTTAATATGTTCTTTTTTTCCCACAAACAGATGATGGGGCAACTTGCCCAAACTTCCCCGGTGAATACTGACTGCTCCACAGATGTAAGTGAAGTATCTGTACAAGGACAGGTCACCTGAGCCTCTTTGAAAGGGATGGAGGCTTGGACTTGTACTCCTAGCACGAAACAAGTCAGGAAAACAGGACCAGCATGAACAGAATGATAGTGACCAACACAGAAGGACAAAAACCTTTGGAGCTTCTGACACAATGCTTTCTGTATTGTGTCAGATCAATCACCCACTGAGCTCAGTAGCTGGCACCATACAGTAGATGGTGGCAGGTGCCTACTGAAGAATATAAACCCAGGGGAATTCTATACCAATAGTGTTCCCATATATATTTTCATCCTGCAGTGAGTTGCACCACATTTTGGAGCTACTGGTGGTATTAATGTTGGTTAATAAATTTTGGTGGATTTTTCATCTGTTAATTAGATCAAATTAGGATACACTTTCATATTTGGCAAAAGTCCAATTCATTATATTGAATTATTATTACATTTCGATTTAAACCTCATGCTCTTAAAGGTCTTGCATACCAAGACACTTTGCAAATATGACTTTGCTGCACTCACCCTTCTCTTTTCCACATTACTAAAATCATTATAAACAGAGCAGTGAGATGAAGCACAAGAAAAGAAATTATGTATTTGCTGTCTTACCTTAATACATATTTACATGTACACAAAGTGAAGCATCAAAACAGTAGCCAGAAGAAAGATAAACTAAGGCTATATGGGACTGCAGGACTGTATGTGTTTCTCTTATAGTTTACCAGCTTCTCTGAAGCACTAGAGGTTGACAGAAAGCCTAATAGCCTGATTTGCTACATGCTTCTTGGATTGGAAGGTGATATATAATAGTACCATTAAAAAAAGCTCTCAAAACTTTTAGCTAGCAGTTGCATAAACTTAAGACTGCATTTCCTTTCTATAAATAGAAGTTTCCCTTCTAAAAGCATTTCCCCCATTAAAGACTTCTGATTACTTTCCTACCAGAAGAAAATTCTATCCTGACTTTTCCTGATGAATAGGTTGTACCCAATACAGCATCACAAAGTCACAGAACAAACTTGGAAGGTACCTCTGGGAGTCATTTGGTCCAACTTCCCCCTGACAAGCACGGCCACCCAGAGCCAGTGGCCATGTTCAGATGGCTTTTGACTATGTCCAAGGATAGGGACTCCACAGTCTCACTGAGCAACCAGTGCTTCGTTACCCTCACAGTAAAATAATGTTTCCTGATGTTCATAGGGCTCCTCCTATATCTCAGTTTGTGCCCACTGCCTGTTGTTTTGTCTCTGGGCACTCTGACAAGAGCTTGGCTCTGTCCTTTTCACACCCTCCCTCCAAGTATTTATGTACAATGATAAGATTC